AAAAAAGGGAGAGCATGAGCGGAATACAAAAATAATCGACTTTTAGTTTGGTCTCCTCTTCTGTTTAAAAATAATCGACAAATAAGCTACTGTTAATTTCGTCCAGATGCTTATGAGCAGCAAATTTAGCGAAATCAATTAAGCGACTGTATATTTGTGACCTTTTATTATAAAAATAAACTTGTACCACCCACTCTGACCCGATAACATCTACGTCAGGCCTGTTTTCTGAATTCGCAAAGATAAATAGGAGGCAGCCCTGCGTATCGATGTTCGGTACTTAATAAATTTAAATACGACAGGTGCATGCCCTGTAACTAGAAAATCGTGTTTACCGTGTTAAAATTATCTGGCGTAATGTTTTTGCTAACACCAAGAAGCTACCTCAATTTATAGTAAGTCTTTATTGTATAAATTTGCAGATAAAAGAAGTGTATCAAAATTAACAATTTGGATAAATAAAATACAATTCCACATTCAACTATATCTAATAACTACAACAGTTTACCTATTTTGTTCGTAGGAAAGTATAAATTGCCGTTGAACTAGATTTTTATTAGTAGCGGCGTTTCTACTCAACATAAAATGCAAAGGAATGTCGTTTATCGAACACTTAAACGTTATTCGAGCAAGAACATAATGTTAATTAGATATTTGCAGTTGTTAATTCAACGAAATAGATTAATGACTGCCTTACCTCATTTAAAACGAGTTAAACACGACATTGTTTTCATTTTGTTTTTCCAAGCTTCTTTAACCCACGGTTGCAAGTTATTCTGGAGCATACTGTTGAAGTGACGGTCACTGACATTAAATCTACGAGTACAAGGAAATGTGATACCAATCTATACGTATGTCCTTGAGGACTGAAAATGTATCTATCTTGGATTACATTCACCAAATACATAAGTAATTTATGTCTTATAAGACTTCACTATTTTTAAACAATAAGTAAATATGATTAATTTATTGTTAAAATCTGAGACATTGAAGTTAATCACCTTGCCGTTTCATTGATATACAAAGCCTCAAACATCGATCATGATTAAAAAACCTACTTCGTCATTGTTAACGCGTCATTTTTACGGTCTGGTGGTTAAATCAGTTGTTATGGAATGATGAAATGTCATGTCGTGTGTTTATTCTTCCAGACGGTAATAACGAAAAACAATTTAGTAATGACGCACATAAAAGCGATTACTATATTTTGTTAAAATCGAATCAAGTTACAAAATGATTTTAACTATTTTAACACTGCTTTTTAATTTAATTATTTTATATATTCCTTTACCAGTGCTAAAACTTCCTGCTCGAAACGAAACGGGTTTAGTCGCGGCGCAGACATTTTTAATATTCAATTAATTGTGTTCTGAGTTTTCTTTTGCGATTCGAGAGTGAGTGGCGGACACAAGGACAAATGTGGACGCGATATTGTATCTAGCTGGAAATTTTGTCTCTTAGCAACATATAAAGTTTAGTTTTTGTCTGTTAGTTAGTAGTTAGTTAATATTGATTAATACTTCTTTTTCTTATTTTTTTAATGTCGTATTCCTTCATATGAGTACATTCCTTCATTTAAGATAGTAAAAATTAATTTACACAGAAAAAATGTTTTGCTGAGTTTAATGCCAAGCATGACTTAATGTAAGGTCGAATTATCAAATAATCACGGTACAAGGAGCACGAACGATTTTTTGTATGAAAGAATCTAGAAAATCTACTTAGATCACGACTATATGATAGCAAGCGGACCCTGAGTAAGGAATTAATTCAAGTTTGAATAAGAATAGGTGGTTGGAGGTTTTGTGGGCAACAGTCCGAAACGATGGGGTAAATAATTTAACCCCCAAGTAACGGTTTTACCTTAGTAAGACTTCTAAGATACAAATCTTTAAATATAACGACAAAACGTGAGGTTTTAAATATATTTAAAAACAATCGTGACGTGACTAATTGGGCAGGTTATAAGTCCGATTGATTATATTCGGTTTGCTTATTATATTTCTTTCCGTCTCATAAGTTTTTGCGCATGTAATCGAATTAGTTAAGGTTGTTATTGTATTTATTTATTAAAAAGAGTACGATGGTATATATTCTACACTTAGCTACAATGAAAAAGAGCTTTTTCATACTCATTACTTATTTATTTCATTCAAACTCTATTGAAAAACTACATTGATTGAAGGTAAATATTTCAAGTAGACTGTGACATATATGTTGTAATTTTGGAGGTCAAGTGCGAGCTTAATTCACCTGCCGTCGAACACAACTAACTGTTCATGTCCTTGTTGTGAACATAGTGAAAGTTGTCGTCTTTAAATGTTTGTTATTCGTACATGTTTATGTATATTGCTAAATTACTTCCGTTATTTTAATGTTCAAGAAAATGAAAAAGCTTTCTACATTTAGCGTGTTCCAATTGCAACTAATCAACCGTCCTCTCCATTATGGTATGCTAATTTTCTTTTATTATTGTGAGAGAAATCACATTAACGGAGAAGAAATAAAAGTACCCGATTTTTGTTTTGCTTTGTTTATTGCTGTTTAATAGATTTTGTAGAAAAACGTAAGCATTAAGTAGTGTCTAATCTATTTGGAGGATAATAAGAAAATCAAGTTAGTCAATACATCTTCTGTTTTATTGCATTTATTGTTGTTTTAATGTATAGGTACTTATTTTGAATGCAAAGAAACGATACGAGAGACAAAAGCTCCTTATACATATGCATGTCTTAATAGAAAAACAATAACAACCGAGCTTAAGACAAGGACGCATTGTGTTAAGAGAAAGTGATGTGGAGCTGCGATAAAAAGCGGGAAGACAATGAGTTTAATGTATCATTCAGTAATTTTTCTATTCATTGCATATTTCAATTGAAGCGAATCACACGCATCTTAATTCTCGATTGTTAGAACATAATCATATACCTCACCTCTGACTCCCAGCTCTCTTTAGCGTTTCGCGGCTTGCTCTCCATGTTTCCAGAGAACGTCATAGTTTGGTCGTTGCACTTTTGCACTAAATAACCTTCGACGTGATGTGCATTGACGCGAGTCACTTGTCCACCGTTCACAAGTTTAGCACTGGTACACTATCGCTTTCTGTTATGATGCTGAACATTCGTGCGACAAGTAAACATCGTGTTTACTTCGCGGTTGCACGCACAGGTGACGCGCGCTCGCTGGGTGGCCGGCGAGTGAGCTCGCTCCGACAGCACGCAGCACAGCACGCCTGTAGCGCGGGTCTGCTCTAAGATCTTAGTGAACGCGCTAACGAGCACAGACTACAGTTAACTTTCTCTCAAGTCGCGCGGCCATAAGTTGCGCACCATCGAAAGTCTACGAAGCGCTTCGGGTCAAAGCCTTCATTAATACTACATTACTAAGATTGTAATCGAGGAAACTACGTCTATCAAACAGTGATAATAGTGTTGAATTACAAGACGCGAAGTTTACCTATATGTATCTTGGAAAATCATTTAGTAGGTTCATAGTTATGTTATAACCATTATGGGTCAGTAGTCGGCTGTCAGTCCGAAGTTTGAATTCAATGTGACTCGTATTCTCTTCACTAATCTCAATATATTTCTAACATTTTTGTATATTGTTTGGTCTATAATTTTATTAATGTAACCTTCAGCCAAAAACTGTTGTTTAGATTTATCCAGTAGTGCGGAAATAACTCAAAAAACAGTGTTTTCATCAAGTTCAATAAACTGCTTAGTTTTTATGTAAACAAATTTGTCGCAGTGCAATTAAGCTAGCTGTGGCAATTTTAGTAGAAACTTAAGAATCGAGTATTTAGTTTACTCTCTTTTGTTAAGTTTTCTAATTAATGCAAATACTGTTTAAGTGATTAAGTTATTATTAGAATACCAACAACATTTTCTCACTCGAATCTGTATTTTATTATTTTCCACCTGATCTCTTTAACAAAAATTTTTGGAACCATTCCAGCTTGCGAACTTTCACGGGCACCAATTTCAATAAGAAACTCATTCGTGTTACCTTGATGATTTGCATTCAGGTACTCGTGTCACAGCAAACATCACATAAGGGTAGACACAAAATAATTTAATCCTATGAAGAATATTTTAAATGAAATTGTTATAACCATCACTAATTTCTGTTCAGATCTGATATATAACAACACATATTATGTATTAATAGCAACTAGGTACAGGGTTTAGCGTAGTTCTCATATTTATTTAGAATTTAATCAGTATTCAAAAACTACTAGCGACCTCTTTAAACAAATCAAAGGCACTGGAAACACCAATCGCCATCAATAATTGAAAAGAATGGAGAGATCATACATGTTCCACTAGATGGCGCTGTACGTACTGATTTTTTTTTATTTTTTAGGAAAAAATGGATTAATTCAAATAGCTAAAGTTACTTACTGAAAAATTATTACCTAATTAAAGTTATATTTATATATGTGATATGAATAGTTCAGTCCATTTATCCGTCAGCTGATGTCATATCACACGGCCTGATAAGTGATGTTTTAAGGTGTAATATGACTGAGTAAAACTAGGATTGAATAACTAAGGGCCAAGGGATATAGTCTCACTTAACATCAGACAAGCTGACTGCTTGTTCGCCTTCTTACACAAAAAAAATATAAACCTTTTGTCTATTTAATTGAAGGTAAAGTCAGAGTTAAACAAAAACAATAGAGTATAAAACTTAATGTATAATCATGATATTTACAAACTTACGTTATATAAAACAAATAAATTGTATGGCTATCATTATATTCTTATTACAACATGTCATTAATAATTTACAAGATTAAAAAAGCAACAGTAAACATATTACTGAAGATAGCAATTGTAGTTTCTAATAGCACAAAATATAAATGGAAATAAAAAGAGATTCCACAATTTACATAATAAAAAATATATACAGTAGATAAATGGGCGCTTAACTTTTGAGTTACGAATTAAATGTTTTATCTGCCTTAATCTCAATGTAATAAAATGCCGTGTTAACGATTTTTACATATTTACTAAAACTTCAAATAACAATTTTCTATTATTTTTTCGAAACTAGAAATATAATGTGCCTTTCACAGCAGGTATCAGCTACTTTGTCCCTTCAACATTGGAAAATGCAAAAGTCAAATTTAGATAAATATTACCTACCAAAAAATTCTATAAAGAAATTTAACAAACACTTAGCAAGCAAATGTAACAATGCTAATTGATAGCACCTTTTAGCATTCGGCAAAAAATCTGTTACTTTTGAAAACTGTAATGTACTTACTTAATAATATAAAAAATTACAACGAAAGAAGTCTTATCACATTTGTATGGTAATTATATACATAACCGAGTGATGCATCAAATGTTGTCCCAAAGTAGATTCTTCGCAAAACCTAACGTAGTCCGAGAATAAACCGCAATTCTAAAACAAGCCGAAAGTGATCGAAGTGAGCGAGCTAAAGGAATTTAGTTGAGCCTTAGATCTTTGGAAATCTGATCGTCTTATATCAATAAAACTCTACTTTACCTATCTTTTACATTTACATTGCAAATCTAACAAAATCATTTAGAAAAATAAGTCGTTATTTTGGCTTCCACTTTATTCTATAATGGAATGGTCTCAAGAATAACCATCAGGTATAACATCACTTGACTTCGATTCGTCTGCGAGCCGCGTCGCGAACTGCTCACGGTACCTACACGTGTACCTAAACAACTGGTATTCACGATTAAAAAAAAAACATATTAAAAGATACACGATAAAATGGCACCTCATCGCAAACAATTATTGGTTGAAAAATATAAACAATCATTCACTCGACACAATCTACATTCGCAAACTTCAAACATCCCACGTTATCATTATGAAAATTTACTTCAGATTATTGCTCTAAAAGTTACATTAGTGTGACGACCGCGTCTTGCGATACAACGTAACGTCTACTGAAATTAATCTCATAGGCGTAATATTAAACCGCTACATTTTACACAAGTTTAATCATTAATTATTCTTTAACGCGAAAGTTCGTTCAACTTGAATTACTTAACTAGTCCTAAGCTAGATCGACAAGAGGATTAACAAGTTGTTCCCGCCGAGCTCCCGACAAGCCCCGCCCTAATTTACCCCACATCAATTGAATCTCCAGCTTTCAAACACTCAATATTTTAATATGTTGCAGTAATTAGAACATCTAACTATATCTTAAAAACGATAACATTTATAGTTTATTGAGAAAGATGTCCATACTGGATTTTAAGGCGGCTGAAATTATATAGAACTTGATTATTCTTTACTAGTAACTTTCATCACTTAACTAGAACTTTAGTATTATTGCTAGGTTTGTAGATAACGAGTTCTTAGCTCAATTAGTTTTTCACGAAGTTTCCTTGTCAATTAAGACACAAAAACTTTAAAAAAAATATTTTTGAAAATGATGTTTAGTGAGTCCATTATACTTTTAAATAAAAGAATTTGTAAGCTGGAGATTTAAATGATTTTACAATTACAAATTAATACAAATACTGTTTTGACATCGTCTTTCTGTACTTATGTGTAGATTTTCTCTTTTGCACATGCTTTCAGCACATTGTCCTTTCCTGTTCTAGAAACAATGGATAATTAACAAGATCCATTAATAAATAGTATTGTGATTTTGTCCGCTTATAAAAATATATTATCTATATCAAATGATGCAAACAGACACATACGTATTTGAGGTAACACAATAACAATTTTTATAAAAAGCTCGTATTCTATATTGGTACATGAATTATTACAATAAGTGCTATATTTGAGGTCGTGGAATTCAAAAGAAAATGCAATTATAGTAAAAGCAATGAAAAATAGACATGAGCAGCCATCTACAATGTTTCAATGACCATTATTTTATAGATGGGCTAATTTAAAAAAAAATAAAAATTACATCATAATATCTGAGACCAATATCTGCAAGCTCACATAAGGTGTATGTGAATGATTTTTGCTTTTTTAGCTTTACATATAGTAATTTTTCGCGTCTGTAACCATTATTATAAGTATATCTATAAGCTATTATTTTATTTCTCAAATATAACACTTATTTATCAATGAACTACATTTCTTGGAAGAAAAATTTTAGTCAAAAGCTTAATATGATGAATATAACATTATTTAGTTGTCCGCTGAACGAGCACTACAATCCAATAATAACCTAGAAACGATTAGTGAAAATCTGTGGTAGTATCTCCAAAAGCGTTACTATGCAAACAAATTATCGTTAATTTAAATTCTTAGCTAATACATAACTCATGTACTTGATAAATAATTGTTTCTTTCGAACTGGAAATATGATAAGGCATGTAATAATCGATTTGCAACCTCAATAATGTGGAACAAAACACACATTCAACTCTAGCTATCGACTACTAAAGCTAGCAATATAAGAAAAAATCACAAATCTACGTAATATCCTACGTTGGATAACGTTTCGCACTTTCAATTAATCACTCGATATCTCAGGAGCTTTTAAAACTCACATCTCGACCACAATAACCATTATCACTAACCTTACGCGAAGGTCAATTCAAAGAATGTATAGGTACGCTTAGGATACGCCAACTTATAACAAACTTTAATGTAATCGTAATAAATTGTACTCGATTAAACTACAATATAATAAAAAAGGTAAATTAAAACAAAATTGCACTCGCGGTACACGCTTACAAAAACAATGTAACTTCGAAACGGCGATATAACCTAAGTTTAGAATATTCAACACTTTACCGATGCGCTGTGGTAAGTTATTGCAAACGAATCTTCCGGATATCGGAAGAAGTCAATATGAATACGATAAAATCACAGGAGCGACCGCGACCGCGGCGAAGAGGGCGCGGCGAGTCGCGACGGTGGCAACCGTGGCGGCCGAGGCAACCGTGGCAACCGTGGCAACCAGCGGCAGCACGTGGCGAGTGGCGGCGGCGAGCAGTGGCAGCTGTCGTCTCGCTCAGCCACGAGGCGTGTCGCCGCGGTCCAGTCCGAGTTTAAGGCACAGCCGTCATGGTCTATGGAATCTGAAATTTTAAATATCCCGGTGATTATTATTATTGATTATTTCACAAAAAGATCCTTCAATTTTGAAGTTGTTATGTAGATGTGTATGAGTTTTGGCGTGTGAAGTGTGAGGTGTGGCATGTGAAGTGAAGTGTGGCGTGTAAAGTGTCAGGTGTGAGTTATAGGGTGTGAAGTGTGAGGTTTTGGTACCTGGTGAGGTGCTTGCTGTCCTCGTGCACCGCCATCTCGGAGCTCTTGAACTCGTTGAGCTCGCGGCGGATGGCGGCCTTGTCGCGCGGAGTCAACCGCGTCCACGGCTTGTCGGCGCGACGGTCGTAGTCGTGCGCCTGCGACACACAATATATGGTTTTTATACTTTTTCACCACCTAGTTAAAACTTTACTAAATATAATTTTATTAAAGCGTCAGTACTTTACTATGATTACTTGTAAAGCTTTAAAATGCACGTAACATTGACATACCTGCGTGACCTCAATGTAGTCACTGAACCTGATAATTTTCTTCTCCTTGAGCTCATCGACGGTGGGTCGGAAGCTGAGCTTGCGCAATAGGTAGCGCTTCTTCTCCTCCTTCTGCTTCTTTTCCTCCGCGGGAGATTGACCTTTGATTATAAATAGAAATTAGCGCACAATGTTTATTATACTCACGGTATTAAGAAAAATGTGCACTACTAACTTTTGAGTATATTCCGCTCGACAAGTTCCTCAGCGGTGGGCCGCATCGACAGCCGCCGTATGAGCCTGGCCCCGATGGCTTCCCACGACTCCTGCCGCTCGTGCTCGCTCTGCACTACCAGAATATTCCTGTGCAAACACATGCACACACATCACAATCATTCACTAACATTTTAATCATTTCAATAAATCACAGCTATCACTGACTTAATAATCAGTACACTAACAATAAAGCGTAGTATTCGCTTCACCGGCGAGCGCGCTGCCAACAAGCGGACGATATAAAATTCGAGAACGATTTCGTGATACCAAAAACCAGCTCATAATGTCCTATAAACACAAAATCTTGGCCGCACCCCAAATTAGCGGTTGCTAAAACTTAATTGATTGCAACAAACCGATTTTAGATTTAGCGTTAGGAACACGTATCGTTTACCGTGACGACTTTCGTAACGTATTACCGCATCTACGTTGCGAGCCGTAATGAGTGAGAATGCCACTGTCAAGATCATTATGCCAGAAAACAGGAAGAAGTGCAAATTCGACAACAATGTGCGACGATTGACGACGACCGAAATAAAACTCCCAGGCTTGCGGCGAGTGCGGCGCGCGTCTCACACAAACCTTCACAATATTTATCTATTTTACGTTTACTATTAGCTTACTAGCTCTGATACTATTTTCGACATTTTATTCGCGCCATTTATCTACATTATTATTATTTAATTATGATGAAGTTTTGTAACAAGTTTAACTCCATTTAATTCCATGATATCTATTAAGTTTTGATTATTCTTTTTTTCATATTAATTATAGTGGTAAAGTTTGCATATAACAGTGTCCTATCAAACTGATTGCGGTCAAGATAGAATGAACGGTGTCTGTGGTGTGTTGGCAATGCACAACACATGGTTAGGTGACCGTCACGGTATTTATATCGCGGCGAGTGTGTCGCGACGGCCCAGCGGCCGCGCGGTGTCACACCGGCATTAGTTACGCAACCGCACGTGTCTTACTATTTACTACCGGGACACAACGGCGAGCTTATAAAGGCTCTAAGATATGACATAGTAAAAAATACCTTGAAAATAGTTTTAAATAAAACAAAACATTTTTTTTAAAGCGGATATAGGATCCACTCTTAAAAAAAATTACACGAAACCGTAAAAAATAAGTAATGACGCCCATGTTCAACTATACCGTTCAAGAAGAACCGTCTAATTTGCTTATTACCTAAATAGTCTCGGGCAACGGGCTATTATGTGTGTGGTTATTAAATTCGGCAATTGCTCCTAAAAGATGTTAAAGTATCGAGACAAAGTTTCTTAATATACCTGTTAATGAGTTCCTGTCTGTCGGGGCGCAGCGCCAGCTTGATGTTAAGGCTCTCCTTGCGCGCCAGCTTGGCGGCCACGCGCTCAGACTCGCTCGAGTAGTCGTCGCGGTACTCGCCCTCCCACGGCCGCGCGTTCTCCTTGTTCTCCGCCGCGTTGCCCACGCGCACCGGCCGCGTGCTGCACAGTCGCACACTTTACATACAAACACTAACATCACGGTACAAACTAAGTCTTTACTGTTCAATAAGCAACTCCACACACCCGGTGCATCAATGTCATAACATCAGTTAATTATTGTTTTGTTGCAATCTTTTTAATACAGTTCTATAAAGTTTAAATTTGGACAATTATGACACTAATGCATCAGATGTGTGGTTTAATGCGTAAAAACTAGGAAAGTTCAACACTGACTGACTGGTATGTCACGAATTTAAGGCTCACTAAAAATAAATACATATAATAAAACATTTCTTCGTTATTCCATTTGGAAAGCAGCACGATTTCGAAATTGAGATTCAATTGTTTAGCAACTTTTAAACTTCTTTTTTACGAGAAAAGTGTAAAAATACAAAGGAAATAATTTAATAATCATTACCATTACAGTGGGTCAGTGGGTATACGGTACACTGCGCTCGGAAAGGGGCATTATTACATGTTTTTATTGGAAACAAATCTGTTCGGTTGCATTGGAGTCGCAGGCGAACGTGCGTGACAGTCGTGCGGGCGCGGTTGCGCATCGCGACACGCCACTCGCGGGAACGAATCGTTTAACTACAAGCGATGAGTGAAATTCACGGAAATAAAATAGAGAAAACAACGTATTCTACTTTTACCTAAAATTTAAGAAATACATCTAATTATTTTTGTATTCACACTGCACAAAACATTTGCATGCAACACAGCAATATTAACATTTAAGAGCAATAGAGAGCAGTCGTCAGTCAGAAACAAAACTATAAATATATTTGCTGAGGTGAATATTTGTTACTGCTAAAACAATCACGACACGGCAATCGATGCCCGAGTGATGGGACATTAAGTGTCAGTTAGTAAGTATTGCTTTTGGATTTAACACTTGCATTATAAATGCCGGTTGTAGGTGATTTTAGTTTGTGTTGGTGTAATTAGTTTGCCGTAAGCGTGCGCTGCACGATGCATGGGTCATGGGGCATGGGCTGGCAAGCGGACCGTCGGGAGGTCTCTGGGCGATGCGTGTTCAACAACATTGACAATATTTAGGGAGTGTTACCATATGCGGATCCTCGGTTTGGGCGGCGGCCGTCTGCTAGGCAGCGCATGGTGAAAACAAACGCACACATTTCACTATCAAGCCCAGATAATAATTTTAATGTATTTTTTTACTATTTATCTTATAGCAATTTTTTATTATTCTAGTATTTAAAGCAATTACATAATTTTTCAAATGAATGTCTTAATGGAGAGTATTTGTATTTAAAGCGTCATAAGTGGATAATGTTTATAAGGTTTTAAAAAAAAACATTTTATTTGAATTCGACATTTAAAAGCAATAATTTGAATTAAATTATTCTTATAACCATTCACTAGCTAAATTTTAATTTATTATAAAATTAAACACATTATGATACCATTAGAAATAGGAATATACATATATAACATTAGAAATAGGAATATCAGTCTCACATAATTAAGAAATCTGTTTTAGACATATAAATATCTAAATTACATCGTGACAGGTAAAAAAATCCACATGAATCACATCATAAACGCGACAAAAAACTATATCTGTATATAACATAGCAAACGTTATATCTGTTCTTATTTACACAGTGAGAGGCGGCTAAGTAACAATTGACAAGTATGCAAGGACGAGTTAACGACTGCCTACGCACATATGAAGAAACGCGACAAATCTATCATAGATTTGCAATAACTGGTTCTCTAAAGATCCTCTAAGTGCGTAGGTAGAGACGGATAACCTGTCTACAATATAGAAATGTTTTAGTCTGTCACCTACACAGTTACTCCAATGTTACGACCTTTAAAGGAAGTATGACGTGATTGCACATATTTTACTTTCGAAAAATATGATCAATTAATATAACTTCGCATCGTGACGATTAGATGTCTCTAGTAAAAGTCATAAGAGAAATTATTTTCATATTATTGAGTAGATAATTTCCATAAAAATACTAACAACTAATAGTATTTGCATAGTAATGTTTAGGCATGTGAGTGCTACATTGTATAGAATAATTTTAGTTCAACTTAGCAGATCACGGTGAGGCTTTTAATAAGAATTTAATTGGTTGAAAAAAGCTATAATTCATTTATTTCGAAGATCATCTATCTTACAAATGTGATGTACAATTTTCGAATTTCGTATGTACATAATTTACCCGACGTTCTTACGGTAAAAGAAAACATCGTGATGCAACCTGCACATATCGGCGAATAAATTCAAGGTCAACCAACTCGCACTGGGCTAACGCTAAGACCTAGTCAACCCTTATTAGGGTAGGCACCGAGCCCCACAG